AGATTAAGCAGGCTTTGAGATTTTTATTCTAGTTTTCTTCAATAGTGTTTAGCCAGATTTCGAAAACGCTATTACTTTTCTCCTCACTAAAATATAATTGCTTATGACCCTAATGTGATTATAAATTAGACTTCATTTTTCACAAAGAGTTTAAAATATATATTAAGACTTGCGATTAGGAAACACATGGTAGACTTAACGTTTTTGAATAATTTAGCGTTATGAAATTTTTATTTTTAATCTGAAATGCGAGTGAAACTACTGAACTTTTAAAAGCAGAATTTTTTTTTTCAGCCTCCGAAAAATATTGAAATTATTCCATTTGATAAAATCGGCCGCATTGCTAAATCCTGGTGAAAGCAATTTTTCGGGTGCCAATAAGGGAAAATCGGGTAAAATGGCCACTTGAGATTTCATCATTTTATAATTTCTGGTATTTTTCTGTTACTGAGAAAAACAGTTGTTTTGAAAACTATCAGTGTAACTTGAATGGTAACAGATTTCTATTTTCTTTAAGCTTGATTTTATTCTATTTCGAGTATATGAATATCTGTAGTAAGAGCAAATTTTTTATTATAACTAAATAATAATTAGTGCAATAATTATCCTCTGCCGGAGTATTTCACCAGAGTACGAAAGCTTTTAAAATGTTATTCTGGGTTAAATCATGTGGGTTCAAAACATATTTTTTTTTAAATACCTTATTAGATAGATAAAATAATTAGATTTTGCAATCTCTTATCAGAAAATAGCCAATCTGAGCTAAAAGGCTATTGATGGAAAAAGTCGGTCGGGAAAAAAATTGCTGTTTACAAAATAATTGCCATTCTAAAGTAAAAAAAAATGTGAATTAGGCACAAATAAAAGCCATTCTACCTTAAATCAAAAAGCAATGACGAAAAGGCTAAATCATTTCGATATTCAAAGTGGAAACTGAATCAGTTGGAAGTTTGAATAAAGTTATCTCTTAACTGCGGCTTAATTATTTAGTGATTAACTCTTAGAATTTTCATTTTAAAATTATGATTAAGTAACGGGCAGCAGTCTGCCCATCCAATTAACCATAAAGTTTATGGTAAAGAACATTTTTCACCCTTACGGTTAAGAAAACGTTTACAGTTAGCATGGTTAAGAGCCATGAATGCGAAATTATAAGGTTTGTTTTGAACCATTTGCAATCAGCACAATTTCAAAACGATTAAAAAAAATTACTTGGGATAGGACCTATGCTTTTCGTTAGGTAGTGGGCATTGGAATTAGGTTGCGGTTTATGAAAAGGAAATATTGTGGTGTCAACACTGGGACTTGAACTCACGTTCCGTGGATCATGAGATTGATAGATTAGCCCTCTCGGAGATTGCAAGGAACTAAGTGGCTGCATTAGGTGTTCTTAGTTGGTGCGATAAAATTCTGGTTGTTTAACCGTATTAGATGAAAGCAGTAAAAAACGGTTTTCTCACAGTTAACAGTTTGAATACCTTCTTGTTTATGGTTACTTGACTATTTTGTTTGGATATAAAATAACAATTAAACAAATTATTTAACCATTTTTTCCGTTGAATTTCCAACAGTGCATATTGTTGATAAATGGTTAAAGAAATAATTAAATGATAAATTTACTGCTTAGATATTAATGTAAATCATGCTTAGTAAATTGTTGGTGAGTATTATATTCAAACTTGAGTTGATTAGAAACGAGCTTTTTCTGAATGCATATTAGTTTAAGTGAGTAGATAAATTGATCACTTTTTTTTTAAGTAAGGACTTGAAGTAATACATTGGTAAGCCACACTTTTTCCAAATGGGATATTTTTGCATCTAACTGTTTCTTAGTATAGTTTCCATGTAGGTTCTTTTTGTTGTTCTTTTCACCACAATTCTAATTAATAAACACTCTTCTGTCCAATTAAAAAAATGTTTTTGATCATTATCACCACAAGTCCTTAATATACAATGTTCTACAACAGCGCTTTAAATTTTTTTTTCTCCATCGGTAATGGAACTTACTCTAAATGGTCAAGCTTCTCTTATAGCGGAACCTCGACTTTATAACGTTGTATAAAAAAGAGTGCATTATTAGCTATTAATATACTAATAAAAATTTATTATAAGTATTTTTTTAAATATTAAATATTTATATTAAATATTTAATATTATAATATCAAATATTTAATAGGAAAGAACTAAATATTTCAAACAATAAGTTTGTTCTAGGTATGTGTATATGCTGAAAATGAATAAATTTAGTTGAATTTTGATTTGAAAAAAAATTATTGTTATAAAAGTTGAGAGTCATTATTAGACAAGCGTAAATCTTAATTCTTAAGGTTGTTTATTTTATTTTGAATTGAAAAACTAAATGAGAAATATTTATGGATTTTTTGATAAACGCATATCGCTTTAATAATATATTTAATATATTGTTACTGAAAGAAAAATGCTACTTCTTTATTAATAGACATTTTACATAAATAATTTCATATTAATAAACGAATCATTAAGTGAATCAGGGACTTTTTGATTGGATGTAAATATAATCATTACTAGTTAAAAAAGAAAAAAAAAGTTTGAACTCTCAGAAATCCTGTGATCCTTACCCTAGGGTTCCGCGGAACACCTTTTGGAAATCACTGTTCTAAAGCGCTAAATATACTGTATATTAATCAACATTTCAGAAAAAAAATCCACTGTAAAATGTCAGATTGAATATCTTTGATGAATAGCTCGCTTTAAACTTGAAACCAGCTGAAAAATTCTATTATCTTTTGAAAGTCTTATGATATGAGATTTGAAAATGTAAGCCTTTTTCTTTGAACTACATGGAATGCTGATTCTATATTTTGCTGCCGAAGCGATAAGCCAAAGAGAGTAACTCTTTCAACATTTATCGATTAATCATATTGACATAAACATTATGACGAAGCAGTCAGAAAAACATTTAACTATATCAAATGGTCGGACTTTAGTTAGTAAATGCAAATATTGATAATGATCAAATGACCTTCGATAATTATCATGGTCCGAATATCTTTTACATACTATTTCTTGATAATTTAATTCAACAAAAGAAAATTGGGAAATGGATAAGCTCAATTATTTTTAGTATCTTTGCTGCTACTGAAATGCTATTCTATTATTGTTTTCACATTCGAATTTTTCCATCACTAACAAAATAAGCTTTTTATATTTAGACAATAAAAAAGCAAATAAAAACTAGCGATGAAAAATCTCAAAATATGATGTGTTAAAATTTCCACCATAACAAGAAACAAATAAAGTCATTTCATTAATTTTTTTGAAAATCTAAATTAAAATCAAATTTTTAAGTTTCAAATTGAAATCAACACACTTAAAATTTCAATAAAAAAAAGTGTTAAAAGGAAAATGCAATCGATTCATTAGTTTCTGAGAAAAATTGCGTCAAAATTGGTCATTTTGCACCCGAGAAAGATTATCCCTTTAAATTACTAAACTTGCATTTATGCCTTTTATGAAAGCTGAGAAGGAATTGATAGTTTAAAACTGCTTTCCTTCATAGCACTTTATTTCGAGACGCATTGCATTTTATAAAAAATTATTTAAGATTAAATATATATATATACATTGTAACTTTTAACATAAATTCAAATCATCATTCTCTTCAAATCAAATAAAAATCAATCCATGCTAACTAATTAATCAAAATTCTCAAAAATACTTAACTATGTCCTTTACAATAAATTCGGTTCTTACCTGGGCACAGGGAGATCTTGTCCATTTAACTGTTGCTTATAATTTATTTTTTTATTTAAACTTACTAGCATGATTTTGATTTTACAGATTATAATACTTTTATTTTATAACCGTCGGTGAGCAGCCGATGCAACTTGGACTTTACGACTACTAATGTTCAACTCCGTAGCCTTATAATTTTGAACCCAATCAAAAAGACAAGAGAACTCCTGCATAAAGTAAGTATTGGGAAAAAATTGCCTCTGTAGATTACTTTTCGATGGAACGTTTGCGTTACACGAAGAGGAAAACAACAGAAACCTCCCATAGTTAGCCTCACGGCAAGGGGATTCTAATCCCTGATCCATCCACCACTGAGGATATTTTACGCCAGTACTGTGGTCGATGCGAGCCGGGTGCGGAAGTCCTATTGACCAGCCAATGTTGGGATTCGAACCCCACCCACCTCACCGGAAGTCAAACTCTCTATCCCCTGAGCCACCACGGCTCTAGATTATAATATTGTTTTGTTTTTTTTAACGTTAAAGAAATAAAATAGAAAAAAAAAACTACACCGATAGAACCACACTCAATTGAACAATATTCAAGCAATTATTGAAATTTTTTCTCCGAAATATTCGCTGGACTTTTTAACTCAGGCATTTGTACGCCTATAGAAAGAATATTTATCAGATACAATGTCAAGGTCAAAAATCGGGGACTGAGTATAATCGAATTTTATTTTTAAACTTTCAACAGATTTTAAACTTTACACATTTTATTGGAAGAAATTTAAACTTTAAGATCACGCATTCTTCAAAACACTTTCGTTCTTTCATATTTTCTCATATTTAAAATAAATAACTAAACAATAGTGAAAATAGGGAAATAATAAGCTTAAAAATTCCTATTTTATGAATGATAACTTTGCTTCGTTTTTTAAACAAAGAAAAAAATAAATTTTTACATAATTAATTTTTAAAGTTTAAAAGCAGGTTTTAAAATATTTCTTTTTTTCTATACTAATAATAGTAAACAGTTATTTTGTAAGTAAACAACTACTTTCTATTATTATTATTGAAAAACCGAACGTTATTAATATTTTATAAATAAATGCACAATTATGCACTTCTAATACACAAGTCCTAAAATACAAATTTTTATATTTTATCACTGAAATATAGTAAGTACTATTTTCGATTAGAAATTTCAAACTGATAAGCCTGGTTTTACCTTGCCCTGTTATCACGTAGTTTCCCCTTACTTTTATATTACTGGGACCCAGTTCAGTTTCTCGACACAATTTTGGCGAAATCACTTGGCGATGCAGATGATTCTTCTCCTCCGGAGTCCTCGGGGTAACCCTGACGTTGTTCCCAAAGCAAGCTAGAGATCCCTCACTTACGCGTATCCTCAGCATCGGTGCAAAAGTGGTGTTTTCAACCACCGAGGAAAACACTCTTGTTGAAAGAGAAAAACTTTCTCTCCGCTCCCATCCTTTCTGTCGGATGCGATTTTGGAACGTTTTTCTTCATTCTCCCACCAGCAATTCAAACTCTCGAATGACTGTGGATTTTGAAAACAGCATATCATCACGCACAGTGGAATTGAAAAATAAGGAATAGAATTTTGAGGAAAATTGATTCGCCTTGTGTTTTAATGAAACTATTTCCTTCTATCGTTTGCTGGTGAGATAAATAATTTTCGTCTGCAATCAGCTTTAACTTGTATAATCTCAAATAATCGTTTGCTCTGACACTTTTTGTAGTTATGCAGTTATCGTTAGCGCAAACATTGGTGTATTTTAAAACTTCATCTGGTTTACTGTAACTACAAAAAAAAATTAATTCTTTTAGAAATGTGGTGAAAAGTACTTGAAAAACTGGGAAATATTGTGCAACATGTTTCAGATCACATGAAAACTTACTAACCATAAACAAATTGGAAAAACATCTTTCGTCCCCCTTATAGAATGACCCCCTTCTATCTAGAGAAGAAAATATAATCTTAAAAAAGTTTTTGGAGACAATGTCTTGTGACGTCATTGCAACTTAGATGATGACGTGTGCAGCTCGTCGCCCAATCACTGGACGTTCTGGAATCACATTATGATAATGACACTAGCTAGAAATTGTTAATATCGAGAAGCGTCATATTGCGCATGCGTTTAGTTACCCCCTCTATTTGGGGGGTGTCAGTTGAGTATTAGAAACGGACATCAGCTTATTGAAAGCCGCCGGTATGGCTAGGCGCAAGCAAAGAAAGCCCAAACATTTGGAAAATGCTGAAGAATTGGCGACGTCCCTTCAAAACGGTGAGTGACGGCATTTAATATTTTTCTATTAATTAAAATTTTTTATCATTGTTTGTTTTAATAATAAAAAAATAAAAATATGTCGTTTGATCATAAAAATTGAAATCAAATAATGATAATAGGAATGTTATTTGAGATAGTTTAAACGAACTAAAATTTGCTTCCGTAATTCAAATTTTTATAATCATAAAAATTTTTAGTATTTTTTTTTATTGATTTCAGACTTATTTTTTTTAATTTTAAAAATTATTCTATTGTTTTTTATTTCTTTTTCCTGCACTTACAAAATTTTAAAACCGAACATTGGTTTCAAAAAAGTGTCTTTTAATAGACGAATGAAATTTGGTTCCGCTTTTCAAATTGATATAATTATTAAAATTTTGAATAAAATTTTAATCTATTTTATTCATTTAATTATTTTTTAGTAATTTTACTGTTAATAATAGCATTGTAATTAATTTTACTTATTAATAATTTTGTTTATTTTTATTTTCGTTAATAGTAATCTTTTTTCATGTTTTTCATTAAATACTCTGTATGAAATTATAATATTTGAAGGGGGGTTTTTTTTGTGATGGTTACTTTTACAGTTATTTGGTTAGCTTCATATATCGTTGAGTAATATTGCAAAAAGTGATTACTGATTTCAAATCATTAGTATTTTAAAATAGTTTAAAAAAATTAAATTAAACAAAAACTGCTTTTTTAACAAATCCAAAACAGAAACAAAAAATACTTAAGTGAAGCGAAGAGAATTTTTAAAAATATTAAGAAGTTTAATATTTTAATGAAAATATGATTTTTTTGATTATTTTACGTGATTGATTTTTAAAAAAATTTTGATGATTTTTAAAAATATCCATAAGCAGGTTTGAAATGTATTGTAAGATATTAGTAGTTTAAAATTGCTTACTTTCTTCTAATTTTGTTTGACAAAAAAAATTTAAATGGCAATTGTAATTGCTACTGATTATTTTTAATTATCAACTTATATAAAATAAGCAGTGGTACTTTCTTCTTTAAATTTTTTTCAGCTCTTTCAATCTCTTTAAATTTTCGTTCTTTTTCTGAAGTTAATGCAAAAAAGTAATTTATTTCGTATTCTAATATAACCAAAAATGACCTCGAAGTAAAAAATCCTATTTAAATGGACAATGCACTTAGCAGCAATATATATATATATATATAGATAGATAGATAGATAGATATATACATATATATTTATTTACATAAAAATAAAATATTGCTTGGTTAAAATAATTGTCATTAAATATCAGTTTTAAAAATTATATCAATGCATGATATTCAAAATCAATTGCATTATTAATATTTTCAGAATAAATCGCTAAACTTACATATTTTGTCACTAATAAATATTCGTGAAAAAAATTATTTGTAAATATACCTAATTTGTTGATAACACGCATGGTATACTACACTTAGTTTGATAAAATTGAATAATCATGTAGAAAGGTATATGATTATTCTAAGGTATACACACACACACAACACACACACACACAACAGCATATATATATACACACACACAACAGCTTTATTCATCTATTCACTATAGGCCAACCGTCATTTAAACCAGATTTATTTTTGATCATTAGTAACTTTTCTGCGAGCCTAATTGCCTCCCTCGGGAAATCGCCCGTACCGGTAACATAAAGCTCATAGAATATATTGTGTTCGAGAAATTCATTGTTTGAACTTCGTTGTTGAAATTGGAGGTAGAATTAGTATTAGCCTTGAAATTGTATTCATAATATACAAGTTTTTTTTTTTTTTCTAAAGAAAGATAAAATAAATAAGCTAAAGCTTTATTTAAATAGATTATCGAGACATTTGTGTGTGATTTATATAATTTTTAGTGCATTAAATGATTTTTTGCGTAACAATTTGCTGAATTACTTTTAATTTTAAACACACTTTAAAGATTGATCTATTGCGCATTTTAAAGCTTTTTTGTTAACCACGTTATTTAGTTTTCGATGTGAATTATATAAATATTTAATCTTGTAATTTATGGTAGTAATTTTTTTTTTATCCTCCGTACTCATATTGAAAAATATCTTATTAAATCACTATTTTGAAGTTAATCTTCTTAGTATACATGAATCTAAAATTTAGACTCACATTTGCTGTTTTTGATAGTAAATAGACGTTAAAAAAATATGTGTCGATGCCTACCAAAAAAATTTGAATTGAACCAAAACATATATCAAGCGTTCCCTTGATATTGCTTTATTTTCAAAGTTTTCTGTAAAGCCTATAAAACGGGGTTAGTTTGTAGATTTTTATATTTTACTAGTATTCAAAAATTGCTAAAGTAAATATAAAAAGAACAACACATTATTGATTATTTATTTAGAATTTTCAACATTTTAGATTTTAATAAGATATTTTTTTTTAATCGTTTAATATTACATCCCAAAATTTAGGTATATTTAATCACTTTTCCTTTCCCCGTGTCTATTGATTTTAATATTATAAATTTAGGAATTTCTAATAAAACAGTTGTTTTTCCTATAATTAATTTTCCGTTTATCGTATGGTATTTGAATATTAGTATTTAAGCATATTATTATTGAAATCAACTATTTAAAACTTTAAGCTTTATAAAGGTCCTCCTTTCCCCCTCACTCTGAGAAAAAGAAACCTTTTCTTGTTTTGACAAGAGGGGGTGGGAGAGAGACCAGACGAAACAACCTGTTCTAAAGCCCCCTTCACTCTTTCTTTTGGGCTCGTGGGAAAAGTTTAAAACATATTTGCCTCCCGCTAACCAAAATGAATTCGAAATATCACGACTGCCCTTTAAAGATGGATAAATCCGCGGAGTTCTTTTCTGAATAGAGTATTCTTTTAATATGTATCCACGATGTCTCGTAGCATGGGTGGTCGGGTTTATAGGCTCCCGCTGGCCTTATCACAGAGCTAAGTGTCACATCACCAAGTGCCATACATCACAATACACAGCATTTAGAAATAAAGATATGCATTCGAATGCCAGCTTAAGTTCTTGTTTTGATTTTAGAATCCAAAATAGTGTACCGAACAATTTGAGGTATTTCGAAAATGATGTTCGTCTTTTTGCTGTTGTTTCTTCTCTGAAACTTAGCAGAATTTTGAGAAATTTTTTGTGAGATGTATTTTTTATGCTTTCTACACTGTTAGAAATGTCTCATTAAATATGGTTAAATAACGATTTATTTAATTGTTATTTTACCATATTCAAACAAAACAGTCAAATGACCCTAAATAAGATAGTATTGAAACTGTTAATAGTGAGAAAAAACGTTTATTAACTGCTTTCACCTAATGCGGGTAATTTTTTGTCCCGAAGAAGGCCCATCTAATGAAGCCACTTAGTTTCTTGTAGCTGTGTACATAGTACAGCAGGGAGGGCAAAATGTGTCAATATCATGACCGAAGGAAAGTTTCCAATAATGTGTTCCGTATCTTAGTCGATGTTAGACTATACCTTATTTTAGAAGCACTCATCAATTTTATTTGACGTTTAAAACTTTAACAATTATTGATTGTGTAACGGTTGTGTGAAATTCGTAATGAAGAATCATTCCAGAGATTTTAAAATGAATTCTTCTAGGATCATTAAACGCAGATAAATTCTGCATAAATATTATTTCGGTCTACATCGAAATAATTGCTACATCTTTAAATTTTATACTCCTTAAGACAGTGTTATGTTTGAGTCTTACATATAAACATTAATCATGTATTTCTAAATTAATTACCATACAACTAGCGTTTTATTTCTTTAGGATCTCATCAATATGTATCATAATAGTAAAAAGAAAAGTTTCAAATTACTTAACTACTTACGCTTATTCTTGTGAAACTATCTTATTTTTCTTTGTAAGAATAATCAGGCCAGTCCTCATTTAAATCTTTAAAATTTCTAATTATGGTTTGATTTGGAACAATTTTTTAAGCTAGTTATTTTACAATTTTAGGAAGAAAGATTAACTATTGGACATAAAATATATAATGAAAATTTTATTCCTTGAGAAGGTATAAATGAGAAGTATTAATAATACCTTAAGTATATTCAATACCTATTTAGTATTTTGCCATTGCCTATTGGAAAAAAAATTACAAATTTGCAGTTACAATTTTTGTTTTGTCTGTCATCAGTTAGCTAGAGCCAATAAATTCGAAAAAAAAAGTTTATTACTTGAATTAAAATTTTAATCTCATTTTATTTTAAATTATTAAGTTATATTAATGGTTAATTTTTACATTAAAAGGCTTTTTCTTTTTTTTTTTTTTACATATTTTTTGTAGCAGGATATATTTAATCAAGATTTTCAAAGTCTTCTGAAGCCAGCAATCCACGACATAATAAATCTTTTCCACAAACTTGAAAAGAAAATCATACTGGTAATATCACAATATCAAAAGTACATATTAAGATTTTAGATTGAATGATTGAATTCCAATTTAATTTCATGAAATCATAACTCCAAGGTATTAATAATGATAAAAACTGCTAAGATCAAATCAAGAAACCTTTCTTTTTCAAAGATAACGTAAGCCTTTTTTTAATTTTTTCTGGTGATATTCCTGATCGGTCAATAGTCCAAATTATGTGTCAAAACTGATTGCTTCTAGAATTTTCAATTTTCAACTATAATGGTAGCCATTAGTCTTAATAATACCCCTTTGTTTCCAAATATCACGTGAATCCTTTTAATATCATCAGTGTATAGGCATGTTCTTTGAAAACTATCTAAACTATCTATGATTAAGTAGACTTATCATTTTGCACGCTGTTTACTTACATCAATCTAAAGATTAATCTGAACACAACATTTCACTTATGCAAACTTTGAATAAGCACGATAAACATTTGTACGGAGAATTTGCTTAGAATACATTTTAACGTTTGGTAATATAAATAACCTGATGCACCAAATTATTCACACATATTGTTGTATGGAATACATAGATATGCCTTTCTTATGCAGAAGCTG